TTTATGGGGTTAATACATGAATCTGTGGCAGACTATCAATGTCCAATAATTTTATCCATGGCTTTGGACCTTGAGATTATAGGAGCATGCACCATCTCTATCTAGAAGACTTACGTACTTTCAGAAGTTCGGAGACAAACACATATGAAGCAAACTTGAAGCTGCAGCGGCGGCGCGGAGACGACGTCGGCGGAGATGGACTGTGCGTCGGGGACGACGGCGACGGGTTGCAGCGGCGTCGACAGTGGTGGTCTCAGATCGGGGAAGAGGAGATGGAGGAGAGGGGAGTAGATCGAAGAGATTGGAGGAGATGGAGTACCGCGTACGTCGTCTGAGCTGAGGAGATTAAATTTATTTTATAAAGTTTATAACGTCGGCTACCGCTACTGTAGCCGACGTTATAAAGAAAAAAAATAAAAAAAAATAATAATTAAAAGTATACAACGTCGGCTAGAAAGACAGCCGACGTTGTATTAGATTTTTTTTTTTTTTTTTTTTTTTATAACGTCGGCTAAAGGGATTTAGCCGACGTTATATATAAATAATTTAGAAAAAAATAATAATAAACGATCTACAACGTCAGCTATTAGTATAGCCGACGTCGTAGCTTACGTATTTCTTTTATATTTTTATGTTTACTTTATAACGTCGGTTATTACTAAATAGCCGACGTTATAAACTATTAAATGTTTTTAACGTCGGCTATTTATATAGCCGACGTTAAAGACCCGACGTTGTATGTGAATTCTGTAGTAGTGTATGAGTAACCTTATTTTCTTAGGTAATCTTAGATTATCTAGAATTATTCCAACTTTGTCCTTGTTTACTAACTGAGAACCATTCAGCGTCGTCCACGTGTCCAGATCAACGAATCAGATGTAATTTTTTTTAAAAATGACGCAGTGATATTTTCGTAAATAACTCGAACTTTGGTGCATGTAAATGTGTTATAAGTGTAAGTAGTTGGTGTAACTTTTAAAGTAAAAAGTGCAGGTAGAATCACTTACAAGTGCATGTAATTTTACATTGTTAACATTAATGCACTTAGGTGCAACTACTTATAACTATAGATGCACCTAGTTATAACGTTAGGTGCACTTAGTTTTGATGCTCAGTATAAATTTTACTCGCACCTGTAATACATTTTATCTGCACTTATAATACATTTTACATGCACTGAGGTGCACTATATGAAAATGTTACTTGCACTTGTAATACATTTTACTTGCACTTCGATGTTCAATTATTTACGAAAATGTCACCGCATTTTTTTAAAAAAATCAGTGTTTCTCATCTCTTCGATCTGGACACGTAGATGGCATTGAAAGGTTCTCAGCTTGTGTGTATGTGTGTGTGTGTGTGACATTATAGTAAATTGATCCATATAACCTAAAATATAACCCTTAACCAAACAAGATAATTGACAAAGTAGCATTGTGTTAACTTATGTAGATAATAAAAGGGCAAAACTGTCTTTTTCCCTTATTCCTTTTTCTGTTATTACTGCGGACTCCATCAGACCATAAAAGAAGGAAGTCTTCTTCCTCTTTTGAATTGTATTATTCTTCCTTCTAATAAACAGTAATGAAACACTTCAGTTCCAGTTCCTTTCTTAGCTCAACTTAGCATGCACTTCACTTTCCATCACGGTCTCAGACCACCGCCATAGCTACGCTGCCGCAGTGACCGGGAATAATGCAGCCGGAGGAGAAGCTTCAGCCGGACAGACATCAAATCCAGCAAATCAGATCCCAGTTAGTCAAGGTTCAATCCAGCGGAGTGATGAATTTGATGATCCGCTATACTTACACATCACCGAGAATCCGAATATGATTCTCGTGTCACCTCCCTTGTTTGAGCACAATTACGCTTCATGGAGTAGATCTATGAAGATAGCCCTAGAAGTTAAGAACAAATTTGTCTTTGCAAGTGGATCAATTCCAAATCCAGGTGAAATTGATCTGAGATATGTCGTGTGGAGAAGGTGCAACACCATTGTATGTTCGTGGATTTTGAAATCCCTCAGTTCGAGCATTGCGGAGACTGTAATGTACTATGAAGTAGCTGCTGACATCTGGAAAGCTCTTAAGAAGAGATATTCACAAGCAGATCCTCATAGGATTGTAGAATTGCATAATCAAATTTACAGAAATACACAAGGTAACTTGTTTGTAAATGAATATTTTACAAAATGTAGTGCACTGTGTGAGAAAATGAATGCTATGAGACCTCTATTGGTATGCGAATGCTTTCCTAGATGTACTTGCAATCTTCTGAGTAAAATGCAGAAAGAGAAAGCAGATGACCAAGTCATTAGGTTCCTAAATGGTCTTAATGATGATTTTGAAACTATCAAGTCAGGTGTGCTGGTTATGGACCCTATTCCAGATATGGAAAAGGTCGATATGGCTTTGAAGCTTGAGAGGAAACTTAATGGATCTATCATTCAGAGGAACAATGAGTTGGTTCAATCTAATGCTATTCAGAACATTCAGAGTCAAGTCTCAGATGAACAGAGTTTTGTAGCAGCCACAGAGACAAACAATAAGAAGAAATTTAGCAGTGATGGAGGAAGGAATGTGCCTAAGTGCACCTATTGTGGTATGAATGGGCATACTATTGAAAAATGTTACAAAAAACATGGATATCCTCTTGGATGGATACCAGGTTATAAAGCCAAAAACAGACAAAGTCAAGATGTGCAACAATCTGCAAACTCATCCATAAGTCAATGTGGTGATATAGGCATGACAGCTATTCAGTTTCAAAGACTGCTGACTTTCATGCATAACCAAAATCAGGGAGGTCAAGCTTCAACTAGTTCTGCTGTGAGAGTGAACAGCTCAGGGATGAAGCTTGCCTTCAATAGCACATCTGATGATTCCAATGAAGGTAGTCTTATCTCTAATCTGTTTATTAATAATGCTATTACACCTAGTATTTGGATTGTTCACTTAGGGGCAACAGATCATATCATATGTTCCCTAGAGTACTTTGAGAAATGTGAGCCAGTGCATGCAGTATTTGTGAAATTGCCTAATGGGAAAACTGTAAGTGTCAGTCATATAGGTGAGATCAGGTTGCATCAGGATATATTGCCAAAAAAGGTGTTGTGTATCCCTTCATTTACTTTCAACATCATCTCTGCTAGCAAACTGACAAAGGAGACACCATGTAAACTCATTATGGATGCTAATTCATGCAATATGGGTCTCCATGGGACAGTGTATGGTTTTGCTAGAGAAAGGGATGGACTATACCTGATGACTGATTCTCCAATCAGAAGAAAGGTTCACTGTGCAGATGAGAATGTTGATGTTCAGTGTAATGGCCTGTCATTACAATTGTGGCATAATAGGCTAGGTCACTGTCCTATAAACAAAGTACACCTTCTAGATGGAATAAAACATGGACAATTTCCCAAACCATGTGATTTTGCCTGTGATGCTTGTCACTTTGCCAAACATAAGAGGTCAATTTTTCCTATAAGTAATTCTAGGGCTAATGGGTGTTTTGATCTAGTTCACATGGATGTTTGGGGTCCATTTGCAATTGCTTCTCTAAAAGGAGAGCACTATTTTTTGACAATTGTTGATGATTGTAGTAGATTTACATGGATGCATTTGATGAGAAATAAATCAGAAGTTGGAATGCTATTTTAGAATTTTTATCACTATGTTTCTACTCAATTCTCTACAAATATTAAAGCTGTGAGAACAGATAATGGAAGTGAGTTTTTTATGGAGGCTTTTTGCACTGAAAGAGGAATTGTTCATCAAAAGTCATGTGCTTATACACCCCAGCAGAATAGAGTTGCTGAAAGGAAGCACCAACATATCCTGAATGTGGCTAGAGCCATCAGGTTTCACTCAGGTCTTCCAATGAAGTTTTGGGGGCATTGTGTTCTCCATGCTTGCTATCTTATCAATAGACTACCAACTCCCATAATTAATGGAAAAACCCCTTTTGAAATACTGTTTGGTAAGAGTGCAAAGTATGATCATCTAAAGGTCTTTGGTTGCTTATGCTATGCTGCCATAATATCTCAAGGAAGGAATAAAATGCAACCGAGGGCTAGAAAATGTGTTTTTCTAGGGGTTCCTGCCAATAAAGGATATTTACTATATGATATTGCTAACCAAGATATGTTTGTATCCAGGGATGTCCAATTCTATGAACACATATATCCTTTTCATGAAGGAAAAGAAAGCTCATAAACAAATGCAGACCTATCTGAAGTTGAGGAGGTTGATCCCTCATTGGTCCCTTCCTCAGTTAACACAAAGCATATACCTCCTACAGTCATAGAGAGGGCTGATGATGATATCATTGACAATGATGAAGAAAGTAACACCAATTTTGATGACATTACAACATGCAATGCTGACAGTGCAGAAAAAGGTACTGAAATAAGCAATGATGGTACAACTGACAATCAAATACAACATAGAAGGTCAGAAAGAGTAAGGAATATTCCCATTAAACTGCATGATTATTACTGCCATTCAATGTCAAGGAATGAAACACCTGCTAGAACTTCCCTATATCCCATAAACAATTTTATTTCATATGAAGGCCTAACTTACAGTGATAGACTTTGTGCTTCTTCTATCCTTTATGCTCTTGAACCTCAGTCCTACAATGAAGCAGTAAAACATGATACATGGAGAAAAGCTATGCAATCTGAGATAGATGCCTTGATTGAAAATAAGACATGGTCTTTAACTGAGTTGCCTCCAGGGAAGATTCCCATTGGCTGTAGATGGGTATATAAGGTTAAGCACAAAGCAGATGGGTCAATTGAAAGACATAAAGCTAGATTGGTTGCTAAAGGATATACTCAGCAGTTGGGAGTGGATTATGTTGAGACCTTCTCTCCTGTGGCTAGGATGACCACTATTAGGAAATTTCTAGCTATAGCTGTTGCAATGAGATGAGACATTCAACAGTTAGATATCAACAATGCTTTCGTACATGGAGATTTAGAAGAAGAAGTTTACATGACTTTGCCTCCTGGTTTTCAAACCAACAATCCAAAGATGGTGAGCAGGTTGCTTAGGTCATTGTATGGATTAAAACAGGCCAGCAGGCAATGGAATGCCAAGCTAACAAAGGCATTGATAGACAATGGCTTCCAACAGTCTATGGAAGATCCCTCTTTGTTTACTAAGGGTTCAAGTACCTCTTTTGTTGCATTGCTCATTTTTGTAGATGATATATTGGTTGCAGGTCCAAACTCAAAATTGATTGATGACTTGAAGCAGTTTCTGGATAAAGTTTTCAGAATCAAAGATCTTGGCCATTTGAGCTATTTTTTGGGGATAGAGGCTCTCAGAACTTCAGATGGTCTGAATCTCAGTCAAAGGAAGTACACCTTAGAGATTTTAAAGGAAAATGGCTTCATAGACTCTAAACCAGCACAAACACCCATCACTGCAAGGCACAAACTAACAAACATGGAGGGAAGACTGCTTGAAAAACCTGAAATATATAGAAGATTGGTAGGAAAGCTTCTTTACTTAACCAGTACCAGACCTGACATTGTATATGCTACACAACAGTTGAGTCAATTTGTTGACAAGCCTAGGGACTCACATCTTGTTGCAACCCATAGAGTGTTGAGATACCTCAAGGGTTCTCCTGGAAAAGGGTTGTTTTACTCTACAAAGTCTCACTTTAAACTAAAAGCTGGATTTTTCAGATTCAGATTGGGCCACTTGTGCAGAAACAAAGAGGTCTGTCACTAGGTATTGTGTTTATCTAGGTGAGTCATTAATCTCTTGGAAGGCAAAGAAACAAGCCATTACTTCCATATCTTCATCTGAGGCTGAGTACAGGGCTCTAGCTTCTTCTGTTTGTGAAATCCAATGGTTGTTATACTTGCTATCAGATTTGAAAGTGATTTATGACAGTCCTAGTGTTCTGTATTGTGATAATCAATCTGCTATAGCAATTGGAGAGAATCATGTCTTTCATGAGCTCACTAAACATATAGAGATTGATTGTCATGTAGTCAAACAAAAGGTGTGTGAAGGAGTGGTTAAACTTCTGCCTATTTCTTCACAGAGACAAGTTGCAGATGGATTCACTAAGGGATTACCAAAGCTGAGTTTTGATGCTTTCCATGCTAAGCTGGGACTTCAAGATGTTCATTCTCCAGCTTATGCAGGGGGGGGGGGGGGGGGGACAAAGTAACATTGTGTTAGCTTATGTAGATAATAAAAGGGAAAAATTGTCTTTTACCCTTATTCCCTTTTCTGTTATTACTGTGGACTCCATCAAACCATATAAGAAGGAAGTCTCCTTCCTCTTTTGAATTGTATTCTTCTTCCTTCTAAAAAACAGTAATGAAACACTTCAGTTCCAGTTCCTTTCTTAACTCAACTTAGCATGCACTTCACTTTTCATCAATAATATTATATTTCACAATCCAAACCAAACACTTAAGGTAATCTTACATTGCTAGAATCTCACATTACCTTCCTGGAGGTAGTCCTATTACATGGGGTAATCCAAGATTTTGTGAACCAAATGCCCCCATATGGTAATATTAGTCCCTCTGTCTCATTTTACTTGTCTTGTTTAGTATTCATTGGCAATTATTGTGTGGATCGTGTGTGTGGAACACATTACAAAACAACATTGTTTTTATTTACGTTGACATAGCTAGTATATATTTTCATTTTTTTTATAGTGATTCATTGAATACAATAATGTTAAAGAAATTCTTACAATAAAAGAATATTGTGTAAATACTGAATTTGTGAGATGTGGGATTGGTATGTATTTTCATTTCAAATTCAATTAATGAGTTTGTTACATTAATTTTTATTAAGCACTAATCTTATATTATATCACTAATATAATACAAATATTGTTTTATGTCATTTGTTATAGTCAAAAGTGGGATTTGAACTCACACCCTCTTATGAGGACCAAAACTTAAGTCTAGTGCCTTAGACCACTCGACCATCCTGACCATTTTTGAATAAATAATGTTTAATTTTATTAAATATAGGATGTAGTTAGTATGTATATTTTCTTTTTTTGATAATATTTGTCAAAGTACCTGTCATGTCACTGTATGTTTGATAAGTTATCACGTGTGGGTAATGTTTTCGAAATTGTTAAAATATAAACGGATATTGTTAGGAATATATTGTAAATTTTGATGAGCCGAATGTATTTTTGAAAAATCAAGTAGTCCCCATTTTTACTCTAATTGAGTCAGTTTGAGTCTACGGAGTATGGTGCACCCATATCATGCAACCCATGTACAAGTCTGGAAGATCATGATTTATTTGAAGAAGTTAAGCGGGATTATAGCTTAACACAATTATGTTACGGGTAAGTCACCACGAACCATGCTAGAGGAGTTGGAAGAAATGCGTGTGAGCTATGCCAAATGATCCTAAGTTTGAATCTCAAGTGAAGCATTTTTAAACTTGGGAGACTAGCTTGGACCGTATGGGAGACTAGCTCTGACCGTGAGAGACTAGCGCTTGGACCGTATAACCGTATGGGAGACTAGCTTGGACCGTATAACCGTATGGGAGACTAGCTCAAAGTATACCAAATCATATGAGAGACTAGCCTAGCCTGAGTGTATTGGAGACTAGCTAAGAATATGGAGACTAAGTAAAATGCACAAGTCTCACAAAAGCCATGCACCATATGGAAAAACATACCAAGTATGGTGGACCAAGCTTAAATTCGAAACAGAGCATCTCACCATGAACAACTATGAAGTTTTTACAGAGGTTCCAGCTTATTATTTTACAAAGGATCGTGAAGGAGAAAATATCTGATATATTTTCATCTGAACATCAAGTTTTTACGGTGGAACCAGAGACGCTCGAAAAAGGCTGATTCGCAGAGAAATTATTTTATACTCAAGCAAGAATCAGCATATAAATTATTTGATCAACTTGATATGTCAGAGCATTTATGAAGGACAAGAAATATCAAGCTTGTCGCGCCGAACTTATTCAAATTTTGGAGGCTACAAAATTCAAGACACGGCAACTGGCAAATTATTCAAATCATCTGACAAAAGGAGAAAAGACATCTACCTAATATTTCAGATCAAGTTGACAATATCTTTTGATCAACTAAAATTCAAAATGGACGATCGAGATCGAAAGATGATCAACGGGCAAATAGCTTTCACTAGCTATAAATTGTCCAAGCAGACTTGAAGACAAGTGAGCAGTTAAGAGATAAGAACCCCAAGTGATTAAGCAGTTCAACAACTTGAACAACGGCTAAGACATACAAGCAAAAGATACAAGCTATTTTTTTTATTAGCCGAAAAGGGGGAAACAGAGCTTCATAGAATAAAATTAAAGTCTGAGTGAGAGAGAAATTTTATTTCTTTGTAATATTCTCTACTGAGTGTAGAAAGAGGGCGGAGTAACTAGAGAGAGTGAAAAACCCTGGTTGAGTGTAGCTTTGTGCGTAGCACTCGTGGTGAAGGGCAGAGTAACAAGAGGAGCTTGTGAAAACCCTGTGAGGACGTAGCTTTGTGCGTAGTTCTCGTGGTGTAGGAGTACAGTTTGGTGCGAAGTACTCGGGAAGGCGGAGTAACAAGAGGAGCTTGCGAAAAACTTTGGAGGAGTGTAGCTTTGTGCGAAGCACTCGGAGAAGTGTCGGTGGACACTTATTCACTATTGTATCTGGGTGATCGAAGAATAGTGAATTTCCTCCTTGAAGTGAAAGGAGAAGAGTGGACTAGGAGGATTACACCACCTCTGAACCACTATAAATCTCTCTCTCTCTCTATTTACTTACTGCTCATATATTTTGTGCATGCTTATTCTAACTGCGAACTAACCCGATTACGATTTATCGCATATCTTTATCTGTCTGGGTTTGATAGTTTCCACGTTTGCATGCTAGCCAAACTTTACGTTCATCATCCTTGAACCATATAAAGTGTTTCTAACGTGTTGCATGTTTAGAATATCTTTTTTAGCACCGCACTTATAAGCATAACACTTTACCGCTACTTATTCCGCTGCACGCTCTAAGTTGTTTACCTTGTTAATGCTTGTTACTTAGAGTTGAAATTACCAAAGTGTTATTTGCCTTGTAAGTTTTCGAAGAAAGTTTGAAAAATTAGAGAAGTCTATTCACCCCCCCCCCCTCTAGACTTCTCGCCACCCTTTCGAGACCAACAAGTGGTATCAGAGCGGTTGTCTATTTGAGTCAATTTTGACTGCTAGATAGATCTCAAAATCTTCAAGATGAAGAGAGATATGGCTCTTGCTCAAAATTTGCTTTTCTCACTTGATAAATTTGATGATTGGAAAATACGTATGCAGGTGCACTTATCTGCTTTAAATGACGAAATGTGGGAAGTCATCGCAAATGGTCCTATCCAAATTAAGGAAGTTAACACTGCCGCCGCACTAACTCCAAATGCTCCACGATATATTCCAAAGCCAAAAATGGAGTGGACAAAGGAAGATAGAGGGCGAAATAATTTGGACAACATTGCCAAAGATATTTTGTTCAAAGCGGTCGATGACACCATATTCCCAAAGATTCGAAAGTGCACCACAGCAAAAGAAATATGGGATACACTTATCGGAATCGGTGAAGGCGATGAACAAGAAAAAGACAACAAACTAACCATTGCCATGAAGAGGTTCAAAGATTTCAAAATGCTACCGAACGAAAGCATCACCGACATGGAAGCTCGATTAATCAAAATTCTTGGAGAGATCACGGATATGGGAAAGACCATTACCCAGAAAGAAATATCGCTCAAAGTGTTACGCGGACTACCTACAAATTGGGATATGAAGGTGACCGCAATGCGCGATCATAGAGATCTAAGGACATTATCTACGGATAAACTCTTTAGTGATCTTAAGGCGTATGAGTTCGAAATGAAGACACGAGTCGAAGAAGAACGTGATGAACGAACATCCGCATTGATAGCCGAACAACCCTCAACATCAAGGTCAGTAGGAAATAATGATTTTTTATCTGACGAACAATTTTCTCTATTTGTTAGGAAATTCAAGAAGTTCATGCGAAAGAACAAAGGATCACCACAAGGAAATTTCTTTCGAGAAAATAGAAGATCAAGAAGGGAACCGGTCGAAGATAACACAAACGTGTGTTACAATTGTAGAAAGCCTGGACATTTTATGGCCGAATGTCCACACCCCAAGGCGGACAAAAATTCGAATACTTCTCCACAAGTGGAATACAAATCCAAAGAGAAGAAATTCAAAAAGGGCAAACGGAAGGCACTAATAAGCGATCCGTTAGAAGCAAGTGAATCCAAAGAATCATCTAGTGACGAGAGTGATTCATCACAAGAAGATACGGCGCTACTATGCCTAGTGGGCAAGACATCCGAACATGAAGAATGTTATATGGCGCGTGAAATCGACGAAGAGGTATCTTCTAGCTCTTTTAGTTCTTTTAGTTCAGTTGACACTTCTTTCCAGACTCAAGAATCATTTCAAAGTCTTATGGAAGATTGTCAAAAAGTCATGGCCACTCATACTCAAATCAAAGAGCGCAATAATATGTTAATTCTTGAAAAGGAAGAAATGTCACAAAAATTGCTAAATGCTCTAAATGAAATGAGTAATTTGAAAGCCGAAAATGTTCAACTTCAAGAAGAGTGCAAAACTAGAGAGGTCCGAGAACATAACCTTCGGGAAGTAATCGCATCATTTACAAATTCATCCAAAATAATGGATAAAATGGTAAACATGCAGAAACCCGCTGGAGATAAAGCCGGACTAGGCTACGATCCATTATGTTCTCAAACCCATGTGAAACTGACTAATTCTACTACTACTTTATTAATAAAGTCCCAGTGGTAAAATTTGTGAAAAGTCAGTATAGCACAATGAGACAAGGAGTTGGTAAACAAATAAATGCCCATAAAAATGTTGCAAGGCCGAATAAAAAATTTAATATCTCGGATAGGTAACAAAATTTTAAAAGGCAAAAATTTGCATCTCCAAAGAGAACCAACGAGTCTAGTGCAACAAAACCTCATAGGAATATGGGAAGAATTCCGAGAATTGGGGCTGGGAGGTTATATCCCTCAGAACAAGATTGATCGCTTGATGACAAACCATGGACCAAGTCCAGATTTGCTCTCTTTCATAGAATCAAGCAACTATCTGCTTCCCAACCCGCACCAAAGCATTATTCGCAAGTGCGTT